CTATAAATTTGTGTCAGTTGATTCATGCTATATGTAAGCTTATTTGGCTTCTTCCACTCAGCATTGAGATTTATCCACATTTCTGATTGAATTAGGAGGTCATCCCCCTTTATTGCTAAGTTCTATTGCATCAATACATATAGTTTATCCATTGCCGGCTGATGGACAAACATTTGTGCTTCCAGTGTTTGGCTACTATTAATAAAATGGCTATGAACATTTTTTTCACAAATTTGTTAAAATTTTTTCACAACCATCTGTTGAATGCTTTTTCCTGCACAAAAAGCAAATCCTGAGTTGAAGGAGAAATGTATCTTTACTTTTACAAGCAACTCCCAAAACTTGTTTTAAGTTCTATATTCTGGATAAGTCCTTTGTCAAGCAAATTATTTTTGAACATTTTCTCCCAGTCAGAATGCTTTTTCACTTTATGATGTATCTTTATGAACATGCATTTTTGATTTTGATAATCAGTTTTGGTTTCTGTATCTTGTCAAAAAAAAATGGCCACTCCCCAAATGTTCTCTGATGCTTTTAAAGCCTCCTAGTTTCAGCCTTTACACCTAGATCTATGATTCATCTGGAATTTTTGTGTTTGATTAAGAGGTAGGGTCATTTTTTAAAAATGGGTATCTAGTTGTTTCAGAACAATTTGTTAAAAAAGTACTTCCACATTAAAAATCGCTTTGGTGCCTCTGCCAAGAATTATTTGGTGATGTATCATACGTGCATGTTTCTAGACTGCTGTACTCATGTTTGCCCTTATGCTATTATCACATGGTTTTAACTACTGTAGTTTTGTAGCAGAACTTGAAGTTCAAAAGTGTATGTGAAAGTCGCTCACTGACTCTTTATGACCCCACGGATTCTAACTTGCTAGGCTCCTCTTGTCTGTGGCATATACACTTCTTCAAGATTGTCTTGCTCCTTCAGGTCCTTTGCGGTTCCATGTGACTTTTAGGTCATTTTGCCAAGTCTCCTTAAAAATGTTTGCTATTGTAGGGAGTAAGGTATTATGGACTTAGGCAGCACCTCAGATAGCTCTGAAAAACTGCTCCAAAGAGGTTGGGTGGGGAAAGGACAGTATATATGTGATTTTGGTGAAGGGTGAGTACATGCAGTCAGGCACACATTTTTCCAGGTTTCTACTAGTCTCATGAAGCTTTCTGCTAGTCAAGATGAACGGTTATCATTGTGAAGGATTTTAGTGCTTTTCTCCATATGAGGAGATACAATTAGGCTAATAAAATCAGCTCCTGAAATATCTATCTGAAGACCTGTTCTGCTAATGCCCCCAGTACCCCCCACACCAGCACAGAGCGCATTTCTGTGCACCCTGAATTCCTTTTAGTGGGTCTTGAAAATCAGCAGCTGCAATAGCACATGACTTAATCCTTGTAGAGGTAGATTCAAGTGCCAATTTGTAGTTGACATTCTATTTACCCATACCCTCTGTTACACAACTCTGGATAGCAGACAGGTCCCTTTAATCTAAGTGGTATACAGGTATGGTTTTCCATTTTTGTTCCTTAAGCCAGTGCATGACCTTTGGAGTATTCAAATTGCAGACATATAAGCAAAGGAAATAGAGGTTTGATCAAAACATTCAACAGTATTCTTTTTTCAGCTTAAAGACTTTCTATATCAAATTACTTATCTATGTATCCTGTATGATATCATTAACTGACAGTGAACTGTGCAAACCTCTTCTGGTCCTTTCTAGTGTATAAAAACTTGTTTGGAACATTTTAATGATCACTTATTTCATTTCCCCCTGCTTTATTAGTTACTACCAAGATATTAATTAGAGGTTTCCTGTCAAAGTAATTCAAACCCAATGCCCTCAGTGATATGAAAAGCTATTATCTCAGGTGTTTAAAATTATCACACTATTCTCCTCTGTTCTTTACATTTTAATTTCCTGATGGAGTGAAAATTGTTTGATAAAAGCTACTATTTACCAAGACCTGTTTGAAACACTGCTAATACTTTATGTGTACCATCTTGATCTTCACAGCACTGAGGTTAAGTACTTACTGGGTTGGCAAAAAAAAAACCCCATAAAAACCAGAACAAATTTTTTGGCCAACCCAGTACCATCCCCTATTTCTGGTTGAATAAACAGAAAAAACGTTCAGGAATTTGCTCAAAGTCCATAAACATCAACAGTAATATTCAAAATTTACACTTGTGATTTAAGATATTTCTATCTCCTTAGCCTGCACTCTTAAACATGGTTATATACTTGCCTCTATGTGTATAAGAGGGAAAAGCAGACAGAAGCTCCCAGGACAGATCATTTCATCTAGGTTTATAGTTAAATGCATTCAGTAGAGGTTGAGGAACCCACTTGAATAAGTACAGGAAACTTAAAGGCTGACAACGAGAAACTGAAAAACTAAAAAGCAGCTCTCAAAACGCAAATGCAAAGGTCACATTCAGAGGTGCAAAAGGACTGAAGCAACTTAATAACATACCAAGGGCACAACCACTCAGCCAGAAAACCACCATCCCTCATATGTGAGTTGCTGAGTTGACATTACATTCAGATGAGTGTTATTAAAAACACAGGGATATACATAGTGTCTAACAAAAACTGGTTAAATTTTTATGTGCATTTTCAAAGTGTGAAATTCACTTAAGTGACACATCGTGTTTCCCATTAGTCAGCTGTATCGTTTGTGAGTCTTCTTCCTCCAAAATAGTTCAATAGATTTATGTTAAAGACAACATGTGTATTGAAAGTAGCAATTTTATTTGAGTTAAAATTATTTACAAAAACCCAAAGACATACTTCATGAAACTGGTACAAACTATTTTTTTTCCTGCCGTTGGCTTTTGCTCCAAAGATCACAGCTGAGAAATACTGTATAAAATAAAAATAGGATTGGATTCAGAAAAGTACTCTACCTTCTAGTTTCCAATTGGTAGTATTTACAGAAATATTTACAATGGAAAAAAAAAGGTTACTTTAAAACTTTAGTTAATTTGCAAGTCAGCCTCAAGTACCCTAAAATGCAGAGTTCTCTGAGGGTTAAAAACACACAAATGCACTGCGTTTGGTGAGGTGATTTCTCCCCCACCACTCCCCACCAAAATCTGCATCTCTATCAGTGCTTGACAATTAGTTATTATTTAAAAAACAAAACAAAACAAAAAACTGTTAAACACTGAGGTAAATCAATTCTCAAATGATTACCAGTGTAACAGAAAAATGTAGTTCGCCCTGATTGTTCTTATCCAAATGTTTTATAATATCCCTTACCATTCAACAAGTCAGTTTTACTAAGAATCTCCTCTTTTTCCTAAATCCAATGATTAATAAATATCAATGTATTTTAAAATAATTTAATTCAATTTTATGGATATCATTTACCAATAAGCATTTAAAATAGTTTGCTAAGCTAGCTTGTATACTCAGGGCAAATACAACCTCAATCATTCCCAAGTTACACTGGCATACTATGCTCTTAAAAGGTGATGGGTGGGGGGACTGGGGTGGGTAGGAGAAGAAAAAACAATTTGACTGGAATCAGTTACTTCCTTATAGATTTCCCAACAATCTGCATTATCAAAAATAGGAAGACAATAAAAGGCAGCCACTGCATTAAAAAACATTACAGCTGGCACTGATCCAAGAGCCCCGATTTGTCACTTTATACAAGGAAATAACAAAGTCTAAATGGGTAAAAATTAGACTTTTAGCTATTTTCCCCAATACACACCAAACTAATATTTTTATGGCTTCAAGTTTTACAAATCCAATGAAGAAACATGATATAACTACCTGAAAGGTATTTTAAAGTATTAAATGAAATCTCTGGAAAGCCTGTATTCAGGCCCAATCAGTAAAAAAGAAAAAATGTATAACCAGTGGTTTGAACAATAATACAATAAAAATTTGCAATGTTGTAAAATTAAATATATAAAATATGTTACTGTGTGCTCCAGACAACACAATGTTCTATGAACTAAAAGAATCTGGATGAAGAAAAAGGATCTTCTCTAAACCAACAATTTAAGGCTTTGCGTTTATGCATTTGATCCTGTCACTCTTATAGAAGAATATACATGTTATCTGGAAACATGAATTCCACATTGGTGTTTTAGCTTCCTTATATTTACTGTATTGAACATTAGAAAATATATCTAGAGAGTTCTCCCTCAAAACTTAATCATGTTTCAAGAGTCTTCCCTAACTTTAAGGGTAAACTACCCTGGGTTTGTCTATTTTGCTTCATCCTTTAACAGGGCACATCATCTTATATTCCCTCAAACTGTTATTTGTTTTCTTGCGTCTATAGCTATGACTTACTATGGTATGATAATGAATATGGTCATGGTCTCAAAGGTGAAAAATACTTCAACAACCCAAACCAAATCAAGAATAAAAAAATATACTAATCCCTTGTGTCTTTGGATTCCATCTAATTTTAAATATAGACAGTAGTTCAGGGAACAACAACAAAAAAAATTCACAAAATTATTAAAAGCTTTATTTACGATTGGAATCATTCAACAAAAAAGCAAAAGCAAATGAGCCTGAAAAAGGAACTAAGCTGTTGTCTAGAATGTCCTCAGAACATTCAATACCTCAGTAGCTAAGCTGCCTCTGCACCTGGCTGGCATGACAACAGTGGCTCAACATACACAGCAGTTGCACTAACAGCAGCACAAGTTTTCCCCTTAAAACTTGCCCAGAATAAAGCAAGAGAACAAGGGGAGCGTATAAATTCTGCCAAAGTGTGTTTAAATACTGCGTGGAACTGTTAACAGCCTGAACCTTTTCCCTCATTTTTGATAGTTGCAGATTGATGTAGTAACTGTCATTTAGCAAATGCAGAATGCATGACGAAGAAGAAATCAGGTGGCCTTAAAAATCCAAATATGAATGATACTGATGAATGTTCTTGGTATATCTTCAAGGACTTCTTTCGTGACTTTTCTTTGTCTAAGTATAGCTCCAGCATTACCGAGCACCTGAAGCAAAGGTAAAGCAGCTAGCAGTGTTCCAAGTATTCAATCACTCTAGAGATAGACTTCTGGCCTGTGGTTCCAACAGCACACTGGAAAGGGAGGAGTGGAGGTGGGAGACGAGAGGGGGTGGGAGTGGAGAGGAAGTAACGGTTAATTTTCCAAAGCACTGAATCAGAGCTTAAACTATTTAGCCTTATTAAACCAAACATTATGAATCAAAACAAGGTGAGATTAAACTATGGCTTTCATAATACTATCAATATATTTGGCCCTAATAATTCAGTTATCTTAAAGAACTACAAAATTATTAAAATCAGTTTTTTGCTTCTATTCATGATGGCCATAGTACTTGTACTTCTACCGTCATTTCTTAAAGAGTATTTATTGAATTTTTTTTTTAAATTACAGTATTGTTTATGTTTTGGTTTTTTGGTTGCAAATCATGTGGGATCTTAGTTCCCTGACCAGGGACTGAACTTGCACACCCTACACTGAAGGTGCCGTCTTAATCCCTGGACTGCCAGAGAAGTCCTGTACTTCTACTGTCATTAATGTATCATATGTAAAACCACAGAAGCTGCTATAGAAGTTACTTACGGTAAGATTCATGAAGCTCAGGAATTTTTTGAGCATCTCTGTCATTATTGAAAAGTCCCCTTCTGGCAGATACTCCCGCACAGTGGTCACATTGATCTAAGGAAACAAATCAAAGGAACACTGGTCAGGTGGCAGAAAACATGAGTTTGAACCTTGCACTGTGTTGTTGGTTTTGGCACACATCCTATTTCAAACTTCTACAAGGTCCTTAAACTCCTTGGTTAATATGCAATTTCCCTTTCCACACTCAAACTTTTGTGACCCTGTGAATCCATTCCCTACCCCACCCTCAGAAAGAAAGAAAAAAGATAAACTGCCAAAGACTACAAAGAAACATTTATGTGCATATTTACTTTTGTAAATGCACAGAAAAATGCCTGAAATAACAAAATGCATTGTTGGGGGGTGGGACGGGGCAGCTGAGGATAAGAATAGCAAGGAAATGCAGACTGAGAATGTATCCAAAAAGCTGATTAGGAATATAAAGAAAAAGATCAAGGAAAATTCTTCATGTAGGCTAGGAATTAACTGTATCTTTCCAAAGGAAATCTAGTATCATCTATAGAAAGAAAATGTAGGCAATGTCAGGACAGAAGATTAGGATGTTTCCCTCCATTATTAGCAAGAAGCAGCTAAACTGTATATAAACCAGTTTATTCTAAGAAAAATACATGGCCTGCTTAAAATGTTGTTCTATTTCAATATGTATTTAAAATGCTTTAAAGATTCATAAAGAATAAAAGGAAAACCTCTTCTAAGGAGGCTCACCTATAATAAAAAGCACATACCAAAAAAAAAACCAACAAAGAAAGAGGGATGCTTTTGGTTTCATTTTTGTTGATGAAGACATGGAAGAGTACATGTTACCCTCTTAGGAAATTTACAACCAATCCCCTCTCTCCCACTTTTATGGCTACTCAGTAAAACCTTGCAGCTAAAATCCTGAGAGATTTTACAATCTTTAAATACTTGTATTTTTAAAATATACTGAGAATATACTGAAGAATACATCGTGAGGGCAATAGCTATGGTAACTAACTGCAGAGGTAAAGGAATGCTGGATTTAAAAACATCTTTAACCAACTGCAAGGAAAAGGACATGATAGCACAGTGGTGGGAAGAGTAGTATGTTGTCTATGAACATAGCTCAATAGAAAAGTGTACTTCTCTCATTCAGAATAAATAATTAGATCCTAGGTTTCAGGTGAAAGCTTCTCAACAACCCAAATCAAATCCTTTTCTATCAACACATTACAGAGAACAACACAATAAGGAGCCGAGGCATGGGAAGGAGGGTCAGAGCATTTATTTTAAAACAGTGCGCAATAAATGGTAATGTACAGGAGGTAAGAAAAGGTGTGAAATGGCATGGCCTATTTTAGAAATTTAGAAAAGTAACCAAGGGGTATGACAGATTTTAATACTGGATCAACTATACTTCAATAAAATAAAATACTGGAGAAGCATTTAAGTTTGGAGTCTTACAGCAGTAAACAAAGCTATCATTTCCTAAATGACAGTGAGTCAAGAAAGACTGGCAGAGTGAGATTGAAGAGAGAGTTAACATGATCAGATGTGCTCTCAAGGAAGTTAGCTATGGTGGTGGTATGCAGGATTTCAGGAATGGAGAGTTAAGAGCAGCAAGAACAGAAAGACAAGAGAGAAGACTGACCATTAAAATGCACCAGGTGTATCCTGGGTAATGGAAAAGAACATGAGTCTCCTGGGCTTCCTAAACATGCTGCACTTTACCTTAAAATAGCCCTTACTGCATATTCACCTGCTTTCTTGTCCTTCCTCCACTTAAACACTGGCCAAACCAATTTCTTTTACATTCTGTGGAATCAGCTAGCTTTTTAGGGTTAATCATAATGATCCCTAAGGTAAGAAAAACATCCTGGGCTCTATAAATTCACAATATTGTCTACAACCTAACCTCTCTTTAGACATGAGAGAAATAATTCACATCTGAAAAAAACTCAATTTTAAGATTCATTATTTAAGAACGTAACTGAAACCAGGATGTATGCAAAATATGTAAAAATCTTTAAATAGCATACCCACTCTTTTCTGGGGGGTGGGGGTGGGGCGTGCTTTCCTCCTCCTCCTGTTTGGTGCTTCCCATTTGCCCTTAAAATCTCGGAATTTTAAGGAAATAAGGACAAGGGCTGAGCTTGAAGAGAGTCCAGGAAAGGAAATAAAGATTTGCAGGGCCTCCAGCGCCACAGTAAGAACTCTGGTCTCGATCCTGAAAGCAGTTGTGCCAGCAAGGGCCACAACGAAGTGGGCCAGTGTGCACTTAGATCAGAGCCTGTCTACAATATGGAATAAATGAACAAGAAAGATCCAGAAAAATACACAGGACTTAAGACAAATAAGGTACACAGGAAGAACAAAAATGACAATGCAGAAAACTCAATGGCAAAAATGAGGAAATGTGGGTGGGTTGACAGAAGCCCTTCATATCATGATTATGTTCTTTTCTTCTAGCCCTCTACTCTTAAGAAAAGAGAAACTAGCCATCCCACTATACAACAGATCTCCATTCTTTCTTGCATCCTGAACGCCCTTGCTTGTAGGGGGGGAAAAAACCCATCTCTCTTCTATTTTAAAAGCTGGCTCTTCTACTGGGCCTCTCTGTTAAAAATAAATAAATAAAAAAATCCTATGTGTCCTCCATTTTAAAGCAGACTGTTCAAATAGCCAGAAATGTCCACTTCTGTGCTGATTCAGCCCAATTGTGTACACATTCACATCCTTTTCGTAGTTAAATCATGATCTAAATCTCACACAGTAATCCCATTTTCCCAGCCAATGAGTAGATCAAACAAAAGCATGTGAACCAATGTTGGCCAAGGTGAAGGAAGTCTGCTTTTTGCGTTGGGTGTGGAAAAGGCCTAGGGAAAAGAAACCATTGCTGTTTCAGAGAAACAAAGAGGCCACATTCTTCTGCTGGGCATTATTTAACTAAGTGAGACACAGAGTCAGCATAGGTGCATGAAGAAAGCTAGCAAAAGACAACACACAGAGGACAGCAGAGTTTAAAAGTAGAAATTATGAGTCCTTGATATCACTGAGGCTAAACTTTTCCACCTTAAGCCAGGTGAGCACAGGTCTTATATGATGCTCTTTTACTTCAACCAAAGACATGTGAATTGATTCCTCTATCAATCTGGAACTTTCTCATCAAAACCAATATGATCTTACTTTGAAATGTACTTTCTAAAGTTCACCAAATATTTAAAAGTTTTTAACAGGATGGAAAAATAAAGTAACAAGTTAATTAAGTAATGATGTGAAGTGGCTGCAATGAAATTCTTTTAGGATAACATACACCACCACAGAACTCTTACTTACTGGACTCTCCTGGCAGAGACACCCAAGAAGCAGTGCTGTGTATGAGGCCACAATGCAATCCTCCATGTGTTTGCCAGCATGTTGAAGGGCTGAAAGGATTAAAACAGAAAATTAATAGTATGCATGTGCATATATATATATATACACCAAAAACTACAACAAACAAAAGCACCCAGGAAACCAGCAACTGTGTCATCTTTACTTCAAAACCGCTAGACATGGATAATGGTGCTAGGGAGATGTAATATCCACACAAATTAACCAAATTTTTAAAAAAAGACAACCCACAAATGGTAGAGGGACCTTAATATAAAAGCTAAAACCATAAAACCCTTAGAAGAAAACACAGGACTAAGTATTTGTGACCTTGGGTTAGGAAATGGTTTCTTAGATACAACACCAGGACCACAAAAGACAATATAAAAAATAGGTAAGCTAGACTTTATCAAATTTAAAGCTTCACCATTAAGAAGACAACTCATAGAATTTATCTGCAAACCAGGTACTTGATAATAATCAAGGCTCTAAAAATTCTTACTCAATAACAACAAAAAAGGACAACCCAATTTAAAATATGGGCAAAATATCAAGACTGTAAAAACCCTTAGGTGTCATATTATTTGGCTGCTTCTCTTTACAGATGAGTAAAGAAAGGCCCAGGGAGGAAAAGCAGATCTTTCCAACAATGCACATATACCATTCTCACTGCTAGGTGAAGAACTCCTACAAAATAGCAAAGCTTGTGTGCACTGAACTAGAGAGGCCACAAAATAGCAAGATTATGACAACACATGAATTAAAAAAATGTTTTACAGGGGAAAAAAACCCCATATCTTTTAAAAAATAAACCAGTCAAAATAAATATACCTTTATTGAGGTCAAGTTCTTCATCGTCCTCCTCCTTCTTATTTTTCTCTTCTGTACCATCAGTCCTCTCAGTTGATACCCACTGTATTTCTCCACTTGTTTCTTGCCACTCTCCACTCTTATCATGCTGAGTGGTGGGAGCATCTTTGATCAATTCATCTGTTTTACTTTCTGCCAACTGTGCTGCTCGTTCTCGCTCGAGGAATAGCTGATAAACATTTTTGAAGATCATTAAAAAGGGATCACCACCATATATATACCCAAACATAAGGCTCTATTTGCTTTTAAACATCAGTAACCCTAAGAAGCATACTATCTGGTAAAAAGGCTAAGTATCAGTAAAAGCTCTAGGTCTACATCCAACTGAAAGACAAAACAAAAATATAAACGCTGCTGGGATTCAATTAAGTAAATTATCTACCAATGATGTATGCAGTCTATTTTTAAGAATGAAAATCCCAACATCTTCCTTTAATTTGGATAATAACGGGCAGGAAGTTCAAGCAAAAAATACAAATTAAAGTTAAAATTAAAACAGTTAAAAATTCTTTAAATCCAAGCAGCCTGGATAAATTAACTGGAAGGAAGAAAGGACACTGAATAAAGTTTCATAATATTGGGGGAAAACAAATGGCTTCTTTAAAAGAAATTTAAGGAAATAAAAAACCAAAGAAAGTAGAAAACAAGTTCTCAGAGAAAGACTGAGAACTAAATCTCAACTGCTATATTAACAATAAAAGTATAGTGCTCACTTCAGCAACACATATAATAGAGAATATCAGCATGGTCCCTGCGCAAAGATGACACCAAATTCATGAAGTGTTCCGTATTTTTTTTTACAACCAGAGATTAACACACTAAATGAAGTCAGTCACAAAGAGAGAGACAAACGCCATATGATACTATTTTTATGTGAAATCTAAAACATGACACAAATGAACCTATCTACAAAGTGGAAACAGACTCACAGATGTAAGACTTGTTGCCTACAGGGAGGGGGATGGGAGAGGGGAGGACTAGGAGTTTGGGGTTAACAGATACAAACTATTACATACAAAATGGATGGACACAAGGTCTGACTCCATAGCACAGGGAACTATATTCACTGTGATGGGATAAGCCATAAGGGAAAAGAATATGAAAAAGAAAGCTATGTATAACTGAGTCACTTTGCTGTGCAGCAGACATTAACACTGTAAATCAACTGTATTTCAATTTAAAAAAAAAATGCAAGTACAATTGTCAGTGGAAGTATACACCAAAAAGTCTAAAAAGGAAACAAACTCTTGCCTTCACTTACTTATTTCCCTGTGCTGGCACAATGTTGAATGTATACAAAGCATTTCATATATTTGCTGATATGATCTGGAGAAACCCTAAATTACTGATGACAGCTACCAGAAAACTAAATGCCAAGTAGATCTCAAAAACTTGCTGAAATATACAGAAGAATGGTATGTAAACTTTAATACCCTTAAGAAAGTAAAATGTAAGTTTTATATTAAGCAGTATTTCTTAAAATTAGGTTCAAGGGGAACCCAAGATTCTTTCAGGGAGTATGTGAAGTCAAAACTGCATTCATAAGAATATTAAAAGGTCAACTGACTTCTTTCATTCTCTCATTACTGTATGGTGGAGTTTTCCAGAATCTACATGCTATGTAATTATGCTATTGTTTCAATGGCTAATAGAATGTGTGCCTGTATTTTATAATTTTCTCAGCTTTGACTTCTAATTTAGTAAATATCAACAGATAAAGCACACATTAACAAAGCTCTTTGGAGTCCCCAATAACTGGTAAGAGTATAGAGAAGTCCCGAGATCAAAATGTTTGAAAAGAGAATAACGGGCATCTAGTTGCAGATTATTTCCTGAAAACACAGTTCAAGCACTTCTAGTTTCAAAAAGAGCAAAAGGATTAAAGGTTAGCAAAGACTTTAGAAAAAAATAAAAAGGATGGTTCATTATTACTGTCACTTAAGGAAATGACAAAAGTAACTTGCAAAAAGATAAAAACTGTAATGCCAGCACTGTCAAAAAAAAACCCCCAAAACTCACATGTTGTTTTGGGAGGAAGTATAAACAAGAGGAAAGGGAGTGTTTGGGGTGGGGTGAGTTCGGGACATCAGTTTTAACATATTAGTACATATTCTGACAATTTCTAAGTTAGGAAATTACTCCAAAGATATACAAACTTTGCAAAGTATGTCCCAGTATTCAGGTGCACACAGTTCTGAGCACAGATCAGACCAGTAAATGCTGGAGGAATTGAACCAGATGGGATAAGTCCTCTATCCCGTGGGCTAGAAGTTAATTCCTAATTTGTTGTTAATAATCTATCTTTGATTCATAAACAAATGGGCCTTGTTTCTGCTTTTTGCTAACAGTGTCTAATGAGTGACTGTCATAGCTGAAAACAGCAGAGTAAATGAAGTAATGGTACACATTCTAACCTCTCACTGAACTGGTGAAGACATCAGAGAAAGAGAGAGAGGAGGTTGAAGGGAGACAGAAGATGCAAGTGATCAAGAATTTGGACAGATGCAACAAAGGGTTATGGTTTTAAGTTGTTGCTTACCTGCACTAAAGCCTGAACTGCATGAACTTGTCCAGCTATCCTTAAACTATCATCTCCTTCTCCACTATAGAAGGAAGAATCAAAAGAACATGATGTTTCCATGTTGACAAGACAGTGCCGATTTCGAGCACTATATTCCACTAGATTTATCAGTAGACCTAAACCCTACAAAAATGAAAACATGCAAGTTACCACAGGTGAGGATTAAAAGCAAATGAACACAATATACGTAACTCTTAATGGCAGCCAGAAAACTAGTCAGTGCTCTACCATCTACAAAATGGTTAAAAGCCAGTATATAAAATAATGATCTTCCCAAACAAAGATGTTGTTTTCATCTAGATCAAAGATGATGTTTTACTGTATCAAGTACGCATTTATGAAACAAGTCACTTAAACTCACCAGCACTCGAATATCAAATCTCTGCTCCTGAGGTAGGTACTTTGGAACCTGAAGCACACAGTTCATGGCTGTGCCAATCAAGCCATCCTGTTCTCCTGTTTTGGTGCTGCCCCATTCTGAAATGGGGAACGGGAAGAGTATGAAAATTGTAACTAACTGTTATTTATGACAAACTATTAACATGAATATTAAAAACATATAGCTTAAAAAAGAATAGTTATTTCTTTATTAAAATATACTGTTGACTGTAATATTTCTAAGCCAAGCCACAAGGCAGGTTCTAAAAATATCAGCTCTTAAAAGCAGTTAAATCTATACATGAATAAGTGAGTTACATGACAGCTATTTAAAAATCACTACATTGAGAGAAGAAACAAGGAAATTAACTTATTTTTACATGTAATATTGTACAATCTATCAATGAGAATATATGTAGGAAATATGACTTACCATTATCATTAGTTAAATTGAGCAACACCCCTATGATGGCCCTCATGCAGTCTTCCACTGCTTTGCCCACGTGATTAGTTACATTCTGGTGAGGCAGAGGCTTACTGTCAGGTAAGCATATACTGTTCTCAGCACGGTTATACTGCTTAATCAGCTCTTCACAATGTTGTAATGCTCTTAAGAGAAGACAAAATACAGACTATTATGCTCAACAAAAATAGTTATATTAAGAACTTCTACTGACTTGGACCTTAATGCTTTAAATCTGTCATAAAAGCTGCCAAATTAATCTTTTTCTACTCCAGAAGTTATGTGAACTATCTAGTCATGTATCAAACATGTCTGATATCACACTAGGTGCTAAATTTTATTTTGGGAAACTTGATAATATAAATTTTCCTAAGCAAAGTGAAAATTATAAACTCGATGCAAAAGTTTATACTACCAACAGCTGTCCCCAATTTTCCCAATCTCTCCAACATAACAAACCTACTACCCCACCTCACCCAAGGTAAAACCATTAAAAGCCAGCACTAGACACTTCTGAATTTCATTTAGATGTTTGTCCTTTAGAATGTAAACTCTCAGCAGGTAGAGAATATTATTTATATTAATATTGCATAATAACCTTGTATAAACAGATACTAAATACTTCATAAACATTAGAACATTTTTAAAAACATGAGGTCATTTAATTGACATGTTTGTCTCCTGGCAGTCATGCAAGGGTATCTATCAGCTACATCTAAGGATTCACAAGATACTACCCAAAGTAACAAGGAAATGTAATCTTTAAGTGGTTCTAGTATTTCTGACTCTCTTTAATTCACCGAGTCCATTAACTTAATATCTACGAGATAACGATGAAATCCGTGAACTGTGAGCTGATTCCTCATGTATTATATACCATGCAAAACCTTTAAAACTGTGTCTAATTCCCCTCCAGCTGCTTTTTAAAAAACACTCTCTAGTCAGGAAGGTATTCGTGTCTAACCTAAAATGATGTGTTCAGATGTTTGGGGATGTTTGCCAGGATTACCATGCTGTTACTGTTAACTGCCTAAGTAGCAATGAACTAAATCTGTTGGGAGGTGAGAAGAGAGTAAGGGTATATTGTTTAATCATTCAATATACTATCCTTGCATTTATCAGCGTTCTACTGAAAGCTTCAGAAAGTCTGAGAAGTGGTCTTTCACAAACATCCAATTCTAATGTCTACTGACACTTCTAAGCCATTTGACACAAGTTCCTAATCACAAAGGTTCCTAAAGTTGTTTTAGAAGGCATCTGTCAGGAGTCATTAAGTATACAGGAGACATTTTAAAAAATAAGATACAGATTTAACTTGCACAAATACTCTTTGGTGAGAGAGTAAAACATAGTAATAAAACAACTAGAACACATACCTTAAGGGTATTAAGTATGACACAGAATTCACAAATACAAGATGGAGGGAAAACCTACAGACTAAAAACAAGAATACTGGGAACTAGAGACTATTAGAAATTTGGGATCATGGGAGAACTGAATACTGATTGGACTTATAATATTAAGCAATTACTAATTTTTAAGAGATGAAAATGCTATTGTGGTTCTATTTTTTAAAGTTCTCTTTTACAGATTATATACTCAAGTATTTATGGATGAAACTATATGAAATCTGTAATCTGCTTCAAAATAATGTAGAGGGCAGAATGGATAAGGTTACATATACATGGTAACATGACTGGCCAATGTTTGATGATCACATTCAAGCTGCATGAGGTGTACATTGGGGCTTATCATATTACTGTCTACTCTTATCTCTGTGTGAAATTCTCCAAAACAAGAAGTTAAAAAACAGATAAACTTGAGTCAGGCTATAGTGGGCCTCTGATACCAAGGACTTTGGGCATACATCCAAAGACAAGAAATCACATAGATTTGGAATCTGGGATTATTTTTACAAAACAAAAATCTGAGGAAGGTTAACCCACTGTGGTGTAACATTGGACAGGCTACAGGCCAGAGTACCAGGGCAGAGATAACAACTAAACAGACATATTAGTAAGAAGCTGCTGTTAATAAGCTAGAACCAAGACTGGAGACATACTTGGAAACTTTATACACACCGAGGTGATATCATTAGCCCAATGTCAAGAAAGCTGGGCAGAGAGTGTGAAATGAAGGAAGCTACATATAGATCTGGGAAAATAGATGTAAATAAACAGCAGAAAGCAGCTAGTAAAATTCATTTACAATAAAAATAAGGACTAATGCTTACTACTATATGCCAAAGCATTGTTTTAGGCTTTACATATGTATATTAACTCCTTATATATATTGTACGTAATCTATATTATATACAATATACAAATGATATTTTAAAATCTTTTTTAGAATTAAAATATTATTTAAAATACACATTTAAAATATGTATCACATATAACTTAAAATATATTAACATATATACTAATTCTTTTACTGCAACAACCTTGGGTAGGTAGACACAATTATTACCCCCCTTCTGTAAGAACCTGTAAGTTCAGAGCTATAGGGCTGATGTTCTGAAGTTAAGATCCAAACTCAAGTCATTCTGGCTTCAGAATCTGTACTCCTAACTTTTGTACCTTACTGCACTGCATCTTGTTCACAAAATTTGACAGACAGAAGTACTTTATGGAGAAAGGTGACAATGGCACTTTCTTTAGAGTCAATCCAAATGCTTTAAATAAACAGCATGACATTTCAGAAAAACTTACTTAGCTGATGAAACAATGAGTTGTGAATCTTTATAGGCAATCAGGTAGCTTTGATTCTCTGGATTATGCACTGTTACCTAAAAGGGAAAATTTTGAAATTTTGTGGCAATCCATAACATTCATTCATTTACACACAACACAAAGCCTCTAAAAGACATAAAGATGAGGAAGAATTAGCCCTTGTTGTCTAAAGGGAGTAACAACCCACATGTTCTAAATTTAAAATAACACAGCTACTGCTTTATTACAAAATCAAAACATCACTGTTATAACTGCTTGCTCACCGTTAATATATTCTGTATTATACATTCATTGTAATGAACTACCAAGCACTTTAAATGTCAGAAAAGTGCTGTTACTAACTTAATAAACTAATATTTTAAAGTTCTTAAGATTCATTTAGGCTTTTAAAAAGTACTCAGCTAATCCAATCTGGTCAACACAGTTCTATGCATCCTGAAATTCACTGGCAGCATAAATTCTAATCTACATTGAACTAAGTCATTCATAAAAGTAAAAAAACAAACAGGCTGCACTACAATCTCAATTTGGATTAACAAAAGTGAAACTCTAGAGATATATACATTATGACAGTCTCACAGAGCACATTTAAGATGAGATAATTTTCTTCAAATAGCTGTCCATACTTACGCTTTCTAAAACTCGTAAACATCTCTCTGCTCCCCATAATGAGGCTACTAGTTTCTCTTCATCCTCATCTTTACTTAAATGATCCACACATTCTTTCACTAGGAGAAAGGAAATGGACATAGATTAATATGTCTCATCACTTTAATACTTACCTCCTTTACTAACATTAAGTCATCTGTATACATGCTATCAATGTGTTGGAACCTCTCTGAACATTTATTCTAAGTTTTATACAGTGAGATGCTGAAATGTATGAGACTCTAATTTATAATAATTAACTTTCCAATATCAAACTGTTAATGGCCTTTTCTATAAAAGTTAGGATTTTTAAGATGCTACTAAAAGGAAGAGATCTTTTCAAACTGATGCAATTATTCTTTGAAATATATAAACAGAATATTCAGGTTTTAAATAAAAAAATGTTGTATGTGTACTATATCATACCTTTATCTACAATATGATCCAGACCACCCAAAAGCCGCAGTTCTTCTTTAAACCAGTCTCCTGCTCGTTTAGAAGTAAGGGACAGTAAAGTCTCCATAGCTAAATGCCCAGTCTGAAAATCAGAAGCACCATTAACGAATATTGACTCTGAGTAGTAATTCTGAGGCAACACTTTTAGAGATTGCTTTTTAAAAAAAGGAAATTGCATGCTACCAGCCCACAGTATTTTTTTTAATACAGTAAATGCTTTTTAAAAGTAAAACTAGTTTAAAACTGGTATCAGAATAGTCTTAAGCTGAAGAAATGTTTTTATCCATTGGCTTGTTTTCAGAGAAGATCCATTATTTAAAGTAGTCTATCAGTCTATCAGTCCTGCCAGTTCGATAAAATATATACTGTACCATCATATATGCTCAAGGGCAAATCAAAGGGTATATTTAACTGTAGATCAATACACTGGATTAATTTACCACAAAGGTTGTAGCAAGAAATACTCCAGAAACAAGGGGTGGGTGTGTCAAAACTGTTGTCCGCTGGTAAAAACTGGTATCTTATTGCTTTGCTTTATGTTTTCTAACTATAGCAAATGAGCTTATTTTCACATATTTATCAGTTACCTGTAATTCTTTCACTGTAAGTCCCGTGTCAAATATTCTTCCCTTTATATTCATGTAAAGTAGCTTGTCTTTTTCTTACTGTTCTATATACTTTCTTATCTATTCTGATTTTAGGGTTTCCTAAATTCCTTTTTTAGGGTTTTTTAGGGTTTCATATTCACCAATTTCAAACTTTATACTACAGGGTTAGCAGCTTGGATACTTTGGCCTCTATGGCAAAATGATATATAAACAATGATTTAGGACTACTACTGGAGGAAGCAAAGAACACTCAGAGCCATATTTATAAACCAGGTTAGGTTTTTTCCATCCCTTCATTTGCCTTCAATTGTTAATTTTACTTTTTACTGCATTTCTTTTAAAAAGGGCAACTTGGTTCCTATGACAATAAAGGAACTTTAGTATAACAAAAGAAACGCTTTAATGTAACAAAGCTGAAAAGACCTGGTTATCTTCCCAAAGCTCACCGCTTTGAAAGATTCAAGTTTACAGTAAGTCCTGCTGGGCTATTTTGAACTGAATATAAATTAGATTTAGAAATGCAAAAAACACATCAGCAAAAATCTTAATATTACTGATTTTAGAAGTTATTTTATACCTTACAGGTTTTACTCTGTACTTTAAAAAGAACAAGGTTGATGTCCAAGGTGACAAATACAGATCTAGAATTCAACACCACAAAAACTGATTTAATTTTGCTCAATTCTCATTCTAAGTCCTTGAAAGAGTAATGTAATAAGATCAGTTTGGGCAGGGTTAGCTCATGAGTCATAGCAGTGAAAATGAAGACTAATGAGGCTTTCTTTGCTTAGGAAGAAAAGGGCACAGTAATTTGATGTTAATACAACAAACATTTGTTAAGATCTGATGCAAAAAAGCAATTTTACTGTTTGTTTCTATAGGCATAAAAAGGACTGTTTGGTATTTTAGGCTACATTCAGTATATGTTAGTATTTTAAAATAGCTTACAATTCAAACACTTTATTTGAAACTGGAATAGTTCTGAAAAAGTTAAAACACAACCAAATCACTAATCAGAATACTATTCAGCAATTGTGAGCTCAGTTATCTGAATTATATTTTAATATTATAATATTAATATTTAAAAATATCTTTCCATGGTACAGTAAGAATAGCAACATATTTCAAAGAACAGGTTGAATAATGAATAAAACAAACGATGTGTAGGAGACAGTCACTGTACAAAACAATGCCTACTGTTAAAATTTAAAACACAATACCCAGGATTAGCTGAAGGGTGGGGGGCCACCACATCCTAATATTAGCAACTGTGTGTTCTGGTTTTAATCATGTGAGTTAACTACTTAACATAGCACAGTTATTATACTGGTATTTACCATCCTAGTAAATTCAATAAATGATGGGAAAAAATTCAACAAGCAAGTTTATCATCTTTATTTAGAGCAAATGCCTGGAAAGAATCTAAATGTTCAACAATATGTGAGACAAAATTATAATGATGATAGTAACAATTTTTTAAAGCTGTATTTATTCAATTATGCAGCAAATAAAAATTATAGGCTCAAACTTATTCCTTTATAGCATTAAAAAAACAGTATTATGTTCTAAAAGTGTTAAAATTAGAAGTATGAATGAATTTTATTTTATTTTTTCATGAAGGTATTTTAAAATTAGGATACAAATAGTTTGGTGAGGTAGAACAACTGTTTATCCACACTTTGAGCATAATAGCTCTTTTCTAATCTTAATAAGTGAAAGTACTAAATACACATCAATTTTGTATCCTGTCTTTTAATGTTAACTTGCTTTCCCCCTCAACTCCCACTCTACCTGAATCTATTCCTTACTCTACCTTAACTAAGAAGATTAACGATCCTAAGTCATTATATGGCTAGCACAAAGCATTGTGTAATTTTTGAAAGCAAATATTGCAGTCTTCAGTTTAGTGGAGAGTAGAAAAACCATTAATTATATAATGTTGGAACTATCTGAAAGTCAGGTATATATAAATAAATAATCCTATTTTCTCAAAATGACAAGGCCAGTTATCTTCCACTAGCCTACTAATCTTTGGGGATATTCTAGATTCTACAAGTTTAAAAAAAAAGCCAGAGGAAAGTGAAACTAAAATCAACCAAAAGCAACATAATCATCTTAAATGGGGAGTTGTACTGAGCATAAGCATAGCCATGGCCATGACCCTGAGTATGAAGGACACTGCTCTACGGAGCAGTTCATGCCTAGGAATCCTCTTTTTGAGTCTTGGTCCCTTGCAGCAGTAAATCAGACATCCTGAGATACTCTGAAATAAATGAATGCTCACTGAATATGGCTCTTTCTGAAGATCCTTTAAATCTTTACTCCTAAAACCCATATAGTGTTAAGAATTCAAATTGCTAATAGCCTAAATGTAGTTCCTACATTTTAAAAAAACTGACATTTTCATTTTACAACCAAAGGAAGGAACTCACCGTTATATTTTCTAGATCAAGGTGCTTATTGTGTACAGTTTCACAAAGCCTTCGAATTTTTTCTTTGATTTTGTTCATGTCTTTCTCATTCAGCAGCTTAGCTGAAGAAGCATCTTGTTCCAGTTCTAGAAGTCGAATCATCAGATCTAGGCTAGCTCTATCAAGATCCATGTTTAAACGATCTCTACTCAGTATGTACATGAGGGCAGCTGTACAAAGGGACAGATTCTTCAACAGACCCAAAAAGGGGAAAAAAAGTTAATGTAAGCAATTAGTGACAATTTCAGGCAACAAAAGACTATTGTGACATTTGTTTACATTTAGAAACCTTGAAAATGTTTTATTTAGTGAAAATCTCCCTCTTAAAATATTCTAGGGAAATGTGATTTCAATAAATACATAAAGCACCACTGCTTAAAATTTTCCTTTCTACAGACATTCCCTATACAAATGTCTCAGAGCTAGAAGTGTTTAAGTGGAATTATATTTTTTATGGCCATTCTGTGCTAAATGAAGATTTTACAAGACATTTTTCAGTTATCTAATTCTACTTTATAATATACTTTGCTCTTTGTTCTTTATGATATAGTGAAGTCAAATTTCCATTTAAAACCAATAATGTAAATGTGTTTTAAAAAATAAACACAGCTGGGTTTGTGTTACTACATAAGCTCAGGATGCTCAAAGAAACATATTAGACTCATTTCTTTAAAATAAACCAAACCTAGGTCTGGTTGAACCAAGTAGTTTTTTAAAAAAATCATTAATATCATGAGCTCTCAAAATCATTCAGATCAGGTAGTTAGCACATTCAGCTTATAAAATCTACAAGTACCGAAGGTGATATAGATAAGCATTAATAGACCATAAAGGTCTATGTTAGAATAATTCCCAACATCTGGGATATTCTGTACTTAAACATTTTTTCTATATATCTATTTTAATTGAAGTGTACTCGATCTTACACAAATTTCAATGCACAGAAACACAATTAACTATCTAAAGATTTAAACTTTAAATCCCCAAAATTCAAACTAGGTTTCTAATTAACTGCTTACAGAGCAAAATATGTTTGGAAATAAGGCTTTGGAAATCCACTGCCACTAAGAATATATATTAATGCCTTGGTCCTCTCCTAACTTCATAAAAAAGTACATTAATTCTTATTTCTCTTCTCCCTCATTGTTTTGAACCTGCTACAACTTGGTAGCTGACGTATCTTCACTTGGGCTTAAGTGTATTGCTTTCAGTTTCAGAAGACTCAGTATTAGATTCTGTTACCTAATCTATATTTCGAATATAATTTTCCTGAACAAAAATATAATAAAGCCATTTCAAATTACCACCACTGATGATTAGTAATGATTTTTTTCTAACTTTGAAAATGTTAAACCTAAACTTTATATGTAAATATGCTCTATTTTTTAAGAGAAAGTGTCAAGTCATAATAAAACTGAGGATGTGATTCCTTTTCACAATGGGATTCAACATCCAAGCAAAATATTTAAAACTTTAATATCCAAAGTTTTTATTCATGCTATTAGTATCACAAAGCACTAAAAGTTGTTTCCCCCCACCCCCCACCAGTACTTTCTGATTCGAGGTAATCCATGCTTACAGAACTAAATATCCAGTATGGTAGGTATGTCATGTCATACAGTGGTTAACAGTATGAACCTGACAAGGAGGAGAAAATGTTGAGCAAATAGTCTGAAATGATTCATCAAGCAAAAAATCCTGGCATTAAGTTTTTCTAAACATTTAGCAAATTTGGGGCTTCACTGGTGGAGGGGAAGAATCTGCCTGCCAATTCAGGAGATGGCAACCCACTTCAGTTATTTCTGCCTGGAAAATCTATCTAAAGGAGACTGGCAGGCTACAGTCCTTGGGGTTGCAAAAAGAGTTGGGACACAACTTAGCTACTAAACAACAAAAACAAATTTAGTAAATATAAACTAGAATTCTGAAATAATGCTTCTCAACCCCAGAAACTTAAATACCTGATGATGCTGGGAATCATCCAAGGTTTTAAAGACCATTGCTACCATTCCGTGTGCTCTCAGGTGCATTCGAAAACTGGGCATGGCACATTTAGTAGCCAAACTAATAACACTAGAAGAAAACAGACTAGGTTAAGGGGACTGAAAATAGCTAGTGTGTTTTTAAAATTTGCATAATACCTAAATAAACAACAGAGTGCTCGGGGGTGGGGGGTTTATGTGTGTCAAAGCATTGCCCATGCAAATCACAATATAAAGACATGGGCAAACCAAATTTATTAAATACTTACTGATGCACAGTATGTGATTAGGTATGCTATATTAAAAAAACACAAATAATACATGATTGTTTTCAGTGTACTCTTTATATTACTGCTACCATTAAAAGCAAAAAAATCTCAGGTGTCTTCCATGTCTCTGATCCATAAAAATTATAAATATATAATTGGACATATTCCAAATGACCGGATAATTCAATCAAACCAAAATACTCAAACCATTATATATGCAAAAGATGACCCAAATCAAAACATGCTTAAATCATTTATCACTTGCATGTATAAAATCTGGTGCTAAAAAAGAAAAGATTCTTTGGCATAACACTTTTAAGCATCTGGAAACTGAAGCCCATGCTATGCTAAAATGCTGTATCATCCAACTTTCTTTAGTCCATGTAGGATCAAGTCCCTTAAAAGAAATCAATCACATTTTAACATCACTGGCTATAACCTACACCTATGATAACACAAATTGCAAATGTTTGGCTCCACTGAGCTAAAAAATTTTAATGAGAAGGAGCATGAATACAATTTTCAAATATAAAAATAAGATCTTACCTAAGGCAACGTGTGTTTAGAGGCTGAGTGCTCTTTAAGCCACTTAACAAGTACTCAATGTCATCAGTGAACTCTTGGTTTTCACCAAATTCCACCACATCATTGAAGTGCTTCACGTGCTGAACAACAGTATACAACTGCCAAGAAAAAATAAGTCCACCTCTTTTGTAACTATGAAGTAGCATATTTAAATCTATGAACTTGCTCTGCTTTATTTAAAAGTGTATAAAGTTTATTAGATAGCAACCAACAAGTGTTTTAAAAACATTGGTAGCAGTAGGACAAGGTAAGTTCGTGGTTCAAAACTCAGTATCGGTTTACTGATATGTGCTCAAGACATCAAAAGGCTAAATTACATACAAAATTCTATCCACATGCAGTAAAACTGTATATGGATGCTTACTTCTTTGTCTTCTTTTCTGCATTTCAGTGCAGTAACTATATCTTGGTAGGGCTGAGTAGGTATTGTCACAGTTTTTATCACTTTGGGTGGAGGTGCAGGAGCCTTAAAAACTCCATCATCTTTTTGATTTTGCTCCTTTGAAGACAGCCTCACCTATTAATAAAGGTATTAAATTAGTTGCTCTAAATAAATATATAAAAATAGTAACATCTCATCTACTTGGTAAATTTAGTTTAAGAGTAATAAAACCCCAATTCTCCCCCTCAAAGGTAGGGGGAGACCTCTGAAAGGTCATAAGGGATACTTCAAAACTTTCATGCACTATAAGGGAAGACTTGTATGTGTTTTACTCACAAAGAAACACTCAGGAACTTATTCTGGTCTTTTCAACCTAACATTTCATACAATTAGTTATCCATCTCCAGAATCATTAGAAGGAATAAAGAACCAAAATGACATACATAAATAGCATTAACAAACAACTCAGGATAGACAGGAAAACTACAACAGATAGACAAAAGAACTTTTAAAGTATAGGAGTCCATAGTTCATGGTAGGAAAAGTCAGCCATAAGAGCATGCACACTAATACCTAATATGCACAATAATGGCTTAATACTAGTAAAAGGAGCTTAATTAATATATCAAGAAGACAGAGAACTGTACATTTTAGAATGATCTCTATCCCTATTTTTTATTGCCTATAAAGAACTCATTCTTTGATAGCTCCATATGACTGAAGTGTCACTATTAATCTGTAAGTATTAATGCATGATCCTACCAGTTATTCTGGAGCAAATAATTTGCCAAAAATCTTTTTCAAATGTGTTTTGAATTGAAAGGTATTACTATAATGCAAGAAAAAAGTTCTGCTCTGAAAAACAAATTAATCACTCAAAGCCACTTTAAGATCAGTGTAGGATATGCTGATATAGCTCTCAGTCATTTAAAAACTCCATAAAATGTGGATCAAGAATTGTCCAGTATTTTTAACACTTTCATTCATAACCTAGTAACACCAGAATTTCTGTTGTCCTGCCCACAATCCTTACTTTGCCAGTGAATTAAACTAAAATCACTAAATTTCAGTGAAGAAGTTGAAAATAAACTATTAAACAGAAAAGCTAGAGACTTTCAAATTATGAATGAAGATAGCAACTGCCTAATTTAATATTCTTCATACAAACATGAAATTAAAAAGCATAGTTCACTTACTGTGACACTCTGAGGCTTTACTACTGGTGGCGCAGGTAGTTCTTCCGAGTCTGGATGATTCCAATGTCTAGCATTATATACGGCTTTTGTAGGAGACTAGAGGAAAGAGAAAAAGATAAACTATTTCCATCTTACTCTGCATCCTTATAAGATTATCACATTTTAAAACTAAAAATCACAAAGAATAATTTATATAAATTGGATTCTTTACCATTAGCACCAACTGGGAAACCAAGATACACAATATCTGATTTATATTACCACTATGCTCCTACCATGCCAATGGCAGATATGGAGCCACTGTCCTATTTTGATACAAAATCAACAATCAGTGTTCTGGGCAACTCTTACCAACCAAGAAAAGAAATTAAACCTCTTGTTTGGCTTATATTAACTTACTAATCAATACAGTTAATTCAACCTGTTCTTTATTCCTCATACTACTGATTCATGCCCTACATTCTTCCAACAATGAAAATTAGGCAGCTTACAACAAGGGATAAAAGTCCTTATTCATTTAGGTGAAACTGGTCATTATTCAAGTTTTCAGGTTTTATATAAAGGTAAATACTGTATGTATAACAAATATTACATAACACAGTGGAATCTAATTCATTACTACACACTAAAATATATGCAAAATGTATAAAAATGCATACGGAGTGGGATACAGATGTAAATAACCCCACCCCAGTACAAGTTAGTTTACTGCCAAATCAATATACTATGAACTTTATGAAAAAGACCTTTCAGCTTTAACACTTTGAACTTAAAAACTGAGGATAAATGACTATGAGCTTGCATAATCAAATCCACAGAATTAAATCTGTATTAAAAGGAACAAATCTTCATTTTCAAAAGGAACTGATTAAACAGACTGATAACATTTTCTCCATCATTTACAAAAGTGATGTTAAATTATGTCCTTTAAACTTCAAATAATCTCATTAGAGATTTTTTGTTTGTAAGAGTATAATTAATAATCTTTGTATTTTCAGTATTACATATAAAAAACAAAGGAGTACAAGAAAAGAAACATACTTCAAGGCTGGCCAAAAATCCACATAAAAAATTAACCATCTTCCTTTACTAGCCTCAATGAAGTAACATTATTGGAATTAAGCATCATACAAAGTTATCTTTTTATATAAATATTTTCTTCAAAATAACCATGCTGTGACAAAAACAACTGTTTAAGCTCCAGAAGAACTGGTTTTTCAAAAGACAAAGCTTAAACTAATTCACATACTAATTTTAGTAGAAAATCTTAATGTGAAAAGGAATCTACTGTGAAACTTACATAAAGCAGAAGGTCTCACTTGTACTGTGTATACAAACACATTAGTATTCTTGTATATTAGCATAAAGTGATGCAGTATTAGTAAACTAAAGCAGTTTATGCAATGACATGATCAGGCCTTGTGAGGCACAACCACATAGAGCAGACTCAACATAAATTTTTAAACCTCTATTCCTCACTATTTTTCTCTCAATATCTATATAATTTACATGCCTGCTAGTTGTTAGATCCCTCATTTCAGCAACCTCAAATACCCAAAGCACAGCCATAAGCCCAGGAAGATAACAGACTTTTTAAAAGAAAAGGTGCCTCAAACCTAAAGCACTTATTTTTTAAAAGCACTGATTTCAAGTAAGAATATTTTGGATAATATGAAGGTTATCTGGTTCCACCAGTAACAAAATAGCAGAAGTCAACGTTCTAAATTAAACAGACTCTGGAGATAGGGACTACTACATATAAAACATACACACTACTACACATAAAACAAATAGCTTAAAAAAAAACCAAATAACTAGTTAAGAGCTTACTGTGTAGCACTGGGAAGTCTACTCGATACTCTGTAATGGCCTATATGAGAAAAGAATCTAAAAAAGAGTGGATCTATGTATATGTATAACTGACTCACTTAGCTCTGCACCTGAAACTAACACAATGCTGTAAGTCAACTATACTCCAATAACATGTTTTTAATTAATAGCAAAATATAGATATATATTAAACAGACCCCCTTCTAGTTAACTGCAAGTGACAATACACCTAACAGTTACAAAGGAGAGACAGCAACCAGATGGTGTGGATTAAAATCCAGATAAATCATAAGTTCTACTACTACTTGTTGCTAAATATTTTTCTCATCTATAAAATAGCATTCATAACAGTATCTACTGCAAAAGGGTTGTTGTGAGGATTAAATGAATATATGTAAAACACATATTAGAATGCCTGAAACAGTATGTACTATACAAGTATTATCACTGATAGTACTAATTATAATAACTATTATGTGATGATGTGCAAGTCTGAGTTCAGCATCTATACAAAATATACAAGAAAACTGGAGTGTGTATTTATATATATATGTGTATATATATACACAGACATCTACTCACATAACAGAGGACTGAAATAAAAGGGATAACTGCCATAAACATACTTTGTTAACAAATATTATTATAAAAAGCAGACTGGGATATACTGTTCTAATTCATCTCAAAATTCAACAATATCCCTGATAAATACAGAGGCAAAAGTCCTCAACAAAATACTAGAAAACTAAATTCAGCAGCACATTAAAAGGATTATACATCCTAACTATATATAGGATTTATTCCTGGGGTGCAAGGTTAGTTCAACACATGAAAACCAACCAATGTAATACACCACCTTTATGATGAAGGACAAATATCACATAATCATCTCAATTGGTGCAGAAAAACCACTAAACAAAACCCAACTCTCTTTAATGAAAAATTGTACAGTTCTAACAGTTCAACAACAGAAACTGAAGGAAATTATCTCAACAGAGGTCATATTTTAAAAGGCCCACAGCAAACATCATACTCAACAGTGAAAAAAATGAAAAGCTTTTCCTCTGAGATCAGTAACAAGGTAAGGATGTCCACTCTCACTGATTAAACACAATACTGAACATATAACAAAAGTAATCAGGCAAGAAAAAGAAATAAAAGGCATCCAAATCAAAAAAATTTTTCTCTGTTCACAAATGACATAATCTTGTATAAAGAAAACCATAAAGATTTCACACACACACCCCCCCAAAAAACCCACCGTTAAAACAAATAAAAATGTATTCAATAAAGTTGTATTTGAGCAAACTCTGGGAGATAGTGGAGGACAAAGAAAGGAGCCTGGCATGCTGCAGTCCATGCAGTCACAGAGTTAGACACAACTTAGTGACCAAACAACATGATACAGAACTTATTTGCATTTATACACACCAACAAAGAACATCAAAAGAGGAAGTGGAAGAAAATTCCATTCACAATAATATCAAAAAGAATAAAATGCTTAGGAATAAATTTAACCAAAGAGGCAAAACATCTGTTTGCATCAAGGACTACAAAACGCTGAAATTAAAAGACACAAAGAAATGGAAAAACACCCTTTGGTTCATGGATTAGATGACTTAGTAGTTAAAATGGCCATACTACTCAAAGTGATCTACAACTTCAATGGAATTCCTGTTAAAATCCTAGTGGTAATTTCTATAGAAACAGACCAAACCTAACACTTATATGGAATCTCTAAAGACCCAGAATAGCCAAACAATCTTGAGAAATAACAGAAAACCCAGAAGCCCCACATTTCCTGATTTCAAAACATTACAAAGCTACAGTAATCAAAAGAGTAGGGTACTGATGCAAAGACAAATATATAGACCAAGTGTACAGAATAAAACACCCAGGAATAAATCCACATATATATGGTCAAATTATCTTTACCAGTGGAGACAGTCTCTCCAGCAAATGGTGCTGGAAAAACTAGATATCCACATGCAAAAGAATGAAACTTGACCTTCATCTTACACCATACACAAAAATATTTTTAAAACTTAAAAGTAAGACCTGAAGCTAAAACTCCAGAAAACACGAGGGTGGAGGGAATACTTAACAGTGGTTGTAGCAATGACTTCTTGCCATGACGCACAAGGAACAAAAGCAAGCATAAACAGCTAGGACTACATCGTGAAAAGCTTCTGCACAGCAAAGAAAACAATTAAGAGTGAAAAATAATAGAAGAAAAACCTTCAAACCATTTGTCTGATGAGAGATTACTATCCAAAATATACAGGGAACTCCTATAAGTCAATAGCAGAAAAAGAAAAACAGGCAACGGACTTGAACAGAACACTGAGCACCAAAGAATTGATCCTTTCAAATTGCGGTGAAGACTCTTGCGAATCCCTTAGACAGCAAGGAGATCAAAACAGTCAAGCCTAAAGGAAATCAACCCTGAATAGTCATTGAAAGGACTGATGCTGAAGCTGAAGTTCCAATATTTTGGCCACCTGATGAGCAGAGCTGACTCATTAGAAAGGACCCTGATTACGGGAAAGACTGAGGGCAAGAGGGGAAGGGGACAGAGGATGAAATGGCTGGATGGCATCATCGACTCAATGGACATGAATTTGAGCAAACTCTAGGAGATGGTGAAAGATAGGGAGGCTTGGCATGCTGCAGTCCACGGGGTCACAAAGAGCTGGGCACGACTGTGCAACTGAACAATTATGATCCTGCAATCCCACTTTGAAGTCTTTATTCAAAAGAATTAAGAACAGAATTTCGAAGAAATATTTGTACATCCATGTTCAATGCAGTATTTTTCAAAATGGCCAAAAGGTAGAAATAACCTAACTATCCATCAACAGAGAATAAAGAAAATGTTACATATCCATACAACAGAATATTATTCAGCCATAAAAAAAAAAGGAAATCCTATCATATGCTATAATATGAACCTTCAGGATGTTACCCTAAATGAAATAAGCCAGTCACAGAAGGACTTGATACTGCATGATTCCACTTATAAGAATTCTAGTCAAACTCACAGAAATAGAAATGGTGGTTGCCAGGGGCTGGAGAGAGGCCAAAATGGGGAGTTGCTATTTAATGGGTATAAAGTTTCAGTCAGGCAAGATGAAAAAATTCTAGAGAACCGTGGTACAATATTGTGCTTACAGTTAACAATACTATACACTTAACAATTTCCTATGAGGTAGACCTCATGTTGTAGTTTTTATCACAATAAAAAAAAGAATTCTGAAAAGCATTTG